ATTATTATTATTGAGGTGAGGTGATCTTTATATTACGATTGCTTATTATTTTCATTTTCTGTAGGGATGCATATTATTACCTTTCCTTTGTAGGATACAGAAGTAGTGTTTGTAATGATGATAAACTCAGCGACGCAACTGAGGAAAAGAAAGAAAGTGAAAAAAGTAGAGAATAGTTTGAAAAGAAGAGACGGGGGGGGGGTTTACCAACGAATCACACACTCCTAACACTTCCTCCTCCTCTGTCACAACTTCCCCCTCCTCGGGAGTGAGGCACTGCTCTGCCTCGACAGACGGAGGCTTAAATACTGTGGGTAAGGCTTCATTACACAGTAGTCGTCTTTATTGCTGTGTGCTACCTGCCACAAACCAGATCAGCCAGCCACTATAAAGAGTTATTATGATAAGGACATAACGGTCTGAAGGCTGGTGAATAGATGTTGGCAGCTCTTGCTCTATTTAAGGGCTTGGTTGGTTTTATTATTAAGCTAGTTTCCATTCAGTTGGCAGCATATTACACACTACAAAGAAAAGTCTATTTTTAGAGGATATGAAATCTGCAAGTTTATTGTTATGTGTAGTTATAGTTATATATAGTATATGAATTAGATTATTTATAAATGAATTCCTAAATCATGGATTGACTGAGGAGAATTGATGACTTGATAATAACTTGATAATGACTTGTGATGACTTGATAATGACTACATAAAAACATAATATGCTAGACTGAGACGAGGGCATTGAAAGCCACTGCAGCTGCTTGCTGGTGTGCACAAGTGGATGATATTTATAGACAAATGAATATCAACTATTATAATTATATGTGATTTGTTTTAGTTTTTCTGTTTTTTTTATTTGGTACTTTTTATGTGTGCATGTTCATTCAGTGAATTAACGCACTGGGCACAGACAGCAATTCAACGTCTATTCAAATCAAATTGTATTGGTCAAATACACATATTTAGCAGATGTTATTGCGGGTGTAGCGAAATGCTTGTGTTCCTAGCTCCAACAGGACAGTAATATCAAACAATTCACAACAAACCAGTCTGTACCCATTGGACAACCAAGGAGCAGAGGGGTCAGAGAGAGAGAGAGAGAGAGAATGGACTGTGAGCTAAAGACATCCTTGTTTCTAATAATATATACGTATTGACTATTCAGTGCTGATCACAATGTACAGATGATTCCACATTTTTTTATGTCTGTAAGCATCCTCCTCCCTGCCTCCAATGGCTATCTCCTGTATCTACCTAGTGAACTGATCTGCCTTGTTACAACACTCCTGGTGCTTCACAGTCACAGATCCTGGATCAGATCCTGCTGCTCATCTCACTCTTTTCTTCTTTCAGCTTGTTGTCCAGGTGTTGTGGATGTGTCTGTCTCTCTCTGTCTCTCTGTCTCTCTCTCTCTGTGTCTGTCTCTCGCTCTCTGTGTCTGTCTCTCTCTCTCTGTGTCTCTCTCTCTCTCTCTCTCTCTCTCTCTGTGTCTCTCTCTGTCTGTCTCTCTCTCTCTGCATACAGTAGACCTACACTCTGTTGTTTGGGATAGTTTAACATTACTGTATATCATTACCACAGTATTCACTTTTGGACTTATAAGAGAGCATTGGGATTTGAATGCTACTACTACTACTACTGAGGTTTTTAAGTGACCATGGTGATTTTCCATTATTATAACGAGGCAGTTACAGGATGTGCGTGTGTGTAGATACTGTATATGTAGACTCATCACTGGCTTCAATTCAACCATCTCATCTTGAGAGCGTTTTCTTCTTTTATTTTTGATGGTGTTGTCAGGTTCCCGTGTCCTCCTGTTGTCAGGTTCCCGTGTCCTCCTGTTGTCAGGTTCCCGTGTCCTCCTGTTGTCAGGTTCCCGTGTCCTCCTGTTGTCAGGTTCCCGTGTCCTCCTGTTGTCAGGTTCCCGTGTCCTCCTGTTGTCAGGTTCCCGTGTCCTCCTGTTGTCAGGTTCCCGTGTCCTCCTGTTGTCAGGTTCCGTGTCCTCCTGTTGTCAGGTTCCCGTGTCCTCCTGTTGTCAGGTTCTCGTGTCCTCCTGTTGTCAGGTTCCGTGTCCTCCTGCTGTCAGGTTCCAGTGTCCTCCTGTTGTCAGGTTCCATGTCCTCCTGTTGTCAGGTTCCCGTGTCCTCTCCTGTTTGTCAGGTTCCCGTGTCCTCCTGTTGTCAGGTTCCGTGTCCTCCTGTTGTCAGGTTCCCGTGTCCTCCTGTTGTCGGGTTCCCGTGTCTCCTGTTGTCAGTTCCTTCTCCTGTTGTCAGGTTCCGTGTTCCTCCTGTTGTCAGGTTCTCGTGTCCTCCTGTTGTCAGGTTCTCGTGTCCTCCTGTTGTCAGGTTCCCGTTGTCCTCCTGTTGTCAGGTTCCCGTGTCCTCCTGTTGTCAGGTTCTCTGTCCTCCTGTTGTCAGGTTCCCGTTCCTCCTGTTGTCAGGTTCTCATGTCCTCCTGTTGTCAGGTTCTCGTGTCCTCCTGTTGTCAGGTTCCCGTGTCCTCCTGTTGTCAGGTTCCCGTGTCCTCCTGTTGTCAGGTTCTCGTGTCCTCCTTTACAGTGAGAGATTCTATCATGTACAGAAGGGGCATGGCTACAATCGGTATATACTTGTCTAAGTAATGGGGTATAGGTGCATGTCTCCTAATGTAGACAGACTTTTATTTTGAAATTAATCTACTGAATTTAATTTATTTTCTAATGCTTCTGTGTAGCATATATAACAATGTCATACATAAAGATGATATTGAGTATTTATTAACCCCCCTATAACACTTGAAACATGTCAAAACAAGGTCACCCCACTACTGTCCGTCTAGGTTGTGTCCGTTACGGGGTGATTGTACTCTTTGTGATGATGGAAGGAAGGGAGGGAGTGTTGAAAGTGCATGCACCTAGAATGTTTATTCACTGGTTGTGAGAGAGAGGGACTCAGACAGACAGACAGACAGACACCGCCAGCTGGCTCCCTTCCAGGCTCATACAAGCAGAGGGGTTAATCAGCCCCCTTACATAGTCAGCAAAGAGGTGCTCTCACACCCTCCCTCATCTGCAGGTTCACCACTTTACCTCCCGGCCTGCTGGCACTCCTAATCTACTGACACTAATCATGATTCTAAGTGTAAGAGGATATAATAGTGTTAATATAGTAACTACTGATAGTCTGCATAATTGATTTGATTAGATAGTGTGTCCTCCACGGATGGCAGAAGCCAGTGCAACTCCATTAGTTAGTTTTTAATTAGCAACTATATCTCTGTGAGCAATGTTGTTGAAATAGCAGGAATTCCCCCTCATGTTTTCCATGTAACTTTTCATTAAAAAAATAATATATAATTTTACATGGGGCGGCAGGTAGCTTAGTGGTTAAGAGCGTTGTGCCAGTAACCGAAAGGTCGCTGGTTCTAATCCCCGAGCCGACTAGGTGAAAAATCTGTCGATCTGACCTTGAGCAAGGCACTTAACCCTAATTGCTCCTGTAAGTCGCTCTGGATAAGAGCGTCTGCTAAATGACTAAAATGTATAATTTTACATACTCATGAATAGTCATTATTTCTCTCTATATGAGCAGAGCCAAAAGGATATTTAGGAACACATTATGCGTATGACTTATGCAAAGCCTCCCAATTTATTTTATTTCTACAAATGGCGGTTACAAAACAGTTTTGAAATCATTGCAGTTGTTTTTCCCCAGACCACCTCGTCAGGCTCATTCTCTCTCTGTGGGTTCATAAGGTTAAAAAGGGCCATGTATAGATTGTGATTATTAATTGTCTGCCTTGTACTTTCTGATGTAAATGTGTTTTTAAAACCTACAAAATTTGACAAACATACAAAAAAAATTGGACGACTTTTAATTTTGCTTAATTATTTTTGATTATTTTTGTGTATTTTTAATCGAAGATCAGACAAATCTGGACAGTCAGCTACTTCTACGGCTCTTACGGAATACGAAAACCCTTTAATTACTCTAAAAGTAATTTATTGTATATATTGTGTTAGCATGAATCAACTGTGATGTAGATTTTAGATGTAAATACAAACACACGTTTTTCCTACTTACTTCAACTACTGTGATGTGGAATTCATTTATTATTAATAATAATGCTTAACATTAAAGATCTTTGTTTTATTGGCTCATTGATGTTTCATCTTGTAATTATTTATCAGTAGTAATAGGGATGGGAAACCAGTGAACTATATGTAGTTCTCGTAGAATAAGGTCATTTCTAAAGGTAATTTGATCACTAAAATTGGCCAGAGGACACCATGTTGTGCTTTCTATTCTATTCTACAGTAAACCTTCTGTAAATCAAACTAATTAGCCAATTAATAAAGCAACTGGCGTAACCAGTTTTTGTATTGTTTTTTGTTTGTTTAGCATTTTCCTTGTTGGACATAAAATACTGTAAAAACACCAGGAATTCAGCTCCAAGTGATTTTAATTTCTAAAATCTGTTCTCAAGTATTCCCATGTATAAATATATACATTTATATGTGATCGTATCCCAATGTAATTAAGGTTTGAAATAATTATGTTTTTGTCAAATACTATCTGTTTGGGCTTCTTGGGGTAAATTTGCAAGTGTACAAATTATTTGTAATTATGTTCCGGCCCCCCCGACCATCCATTCATGAAAAAAAAATCGTCCCGTGGCTGATAATGTAGTTGGGGACCCTGTAAAGAAAGTAGCCTTAAATGTATAGCTATTGACACAGACAGCGGTAAAGAGCAGTGTGTCTCTGTTCTAGATGTTTCCATCTGAAATGACTTGAGAAGTGCGGTAATGAAAGGTACAGAGCTCTAATCCAATCGAATGGCGCCAACTGGACGACGTCCCCGGAAATGAAGAACACGTGTCCAATCAGAGAAACGTGCATTGCGTTGCAGGGAACGAACCAATCGCGTTCTAGAGAGTGAAAGGACAGCCAATGGGAAGCCTTCGTAGGTTGACGTGTTCAGCAGGAAGCTTCGTAGAATCCGGACATTGCGTGCTCACTTTACCGGCGTCGACTCTGGCTGCTCATGTGTAGCTGTAATTTTTTTCGCTAGAGAGGTAGTTTTATATCGTAACGTTTAGGTAGCTACATCTAGCTGAAATAAATTAAGTTAGCTATTCGTCTTAAAATGTTGTGTTTGAGTAGTTTGTCGGTCGCCCTCGCAGCGCTGGCTTTGGTACCGAGCATTAGCGACGCTTTGAAAGATGGGGAGTGTGAAGGTGGGTTGGATTGTCTGATATTTACATCACTGTCGCTATGGATATAGCTAGCTACTTAACTAGTCGTAGTTAAGTTTTATGGCAACCTACAATTCCATGCATTGACAATGATTCTTCGCCAAATAGCCTAGAAGTTTGCTAGCTGCAATTCATTAAATGGAAATATGTCTTTCAATGCGCTCCTAAATATATGTTTGTGTGCAGAGAAGTATTGCAACTGGCTGTGTCTAGCTAGCTAGGTAACTAGTACCTGTCAATTAAGAGTCATACTTAATTGCTCATTAGGACCTTGCCAGATACTGCCTGTGGTTTCTGTTTATGAGGTAATATGCTCCTATGTCAAGCTGTTGTTTCTCTGTTAGATGGGATAACTGATACTTTACTCTGAATTGGTCAGGTTTATCTAGGGTGTTGGGCTATATAACGTATGGATAACCTACTGTAACATAGGACAGACTGACCATAGAAGTCTCAGAGTTGTAAAACCTTATGTATATGGTATTGCTGGAGTTACCTATTTCTTGTATACCATCAGATTAGCCAAATGTTCTATTAGAAAAGGATATAGAAAGGAATGCATTACAACATTTACATTTACATTTTTTACATTTTAGTCATTTAGCAGACGCTCTTATCCAGAGCGACTTACAGTTAGTGAATACATTTTTTTTTTTTTTTTTATACTGGCCCCCCGTGGGAATCGAACCCACAACCCTGGCGTTGCAAACGCCATGCTCTATCAACTGAGCTACATCCCGGCCGGCCATTCCCTCCCCTACCCTGGACGACGCTGGGCCAATTGTGCGCCGCCCATGAGTCTCCCGGTCGCGGCCGGCTGCGACAGAGCCTGGATTCGAACCAGGATCTCTAGTGACACAGTTAGCACTGCGATGCAGTGCCTTAGACCACTGCGCCACTGCGCCACTCAGGAGTACAAGTCATGCCATCTCTGTACACTCCTAACGTCCTAATGTAATGATAATAATAATATGCCATTAGGCAGACACTTTAATCCAAAGCGATTTACAGTCATGCGTGCATACATTTTTGTGTATGGGTGGTCCCGGGGATCGAACCCACTACCCTGGCGTTACAAGCGCCATGCTCTACCAGCTGAGCTACAGAGGACCACCCGATCATTCCTTGTTTTTTGTGTTGTTTCCTCCCTTTCAGTGTGCGTGAGCTTCCTGGGAAGATTCTACCAGTCATTGCAAGACAACGACGTGAAATTCACCAGCGCAGACATCGAGAAGGCCCTCGTCAAAACCTGCAAAGACACCAAGGGCAAGGAAAATCGCTTTGTAAGTGATTTAGGCTAATATCTTTGTTTGTTTAGTTTTAATGGAAGTCTAGTCGATAAGTAGTTACATTGTGTCCTATCCAGATTATCCACTGGATTTGTTGTTGATTCATTGATGTTATTTTCTTCCTTCTGTACCCTAGTGTTACTACATTGGTGGAACAAATGATGCAGCCACCAAAATTCTCAATGAGATCTCCAAGCCCCTGAGTTACCACACACCAGTAGACAAGATCTGTGAGAAACTGAAGAAAAAGGACAGTCAGATCTGTGAACTGAAATACGGTAAGAAAACAAAATGTAGACCCATTTTTATATGACTTAGTATGCAGTTATTTGTAAGTTAAATCAATGCTACAGTACCGACCCACACTTATGATGTGTGTAACATAATGATGTAGCAGATAGAATGTGTACTATACAGAGTATGTTAGCATCCCTCAATTCCACATGTTTCTATGACCGCTAAACCCTGCTTAATAGTCCACATTTCTCCTTCTTTTTTTTGTCCCTTATTTGTTCCCATAGTTTAGCCTCTTTCACGTGGGACTCATCACAATGCTTATAATAAATGATTTTCTTTACAACTGTCACAATACCATTAGATAATTGTTTGTGGATCATGCTTAGTCAAAAAAACATTGTACAATGTAGGCCTGTGGCTATTTCCAACCCCCTCCTCCTGCGTATTACAAGTTATTTACATACACAAACACAGGTGAGGACCTATTTTAAATGTCATCACCGTACCTGACTGTTGGGGTTTGGCAGTCTTATTATTGCCTAAGTGTAATTTGACCTCTCTTCCGGAAAGGTGAAGAGACTCTGCACACTGTATTCTACGGTATGCTCCCATGTCAGTTAATCACACAGCATAGAATGCAGAGTCTTGTTTAACCTTTTTTTAGTGAACATAATTTGATATCAGCACCTGCTAAGAGACAATTAATGTTTGTGTATATAATAATAATAATATGCCATTTAGCAGACGCTTTTATCCAAAGTGACTTACAGTCATGTGTATATAACAGGCGTCACTGTGCGTGCTTTCTTAACAGGAGCCTGTAGCCTCCTTCCTCCATCTTGAATCCTCTACCACACAGACACTTGACCACCCTCCTGAAATCCCTCCTATTCTTAGCCACTTACACCACCGAAAAGCAGTTCGGCAACGCGAGTGGAGACATTTTCAGGCTGAGGAGTGAAGTTACGAATCCATACTCTTTTACAAGTATGGAATCATTACCTTCTCTCTCTCTCTCTCCCCTCTGCAGACAAACAGGTGGACCTGAGCACGGTGGATCTGAAGAAGCTGAAGGTGAAAGACTTGAAGAAGATCCTGGAGGAGTGGGGAGAGTCGTGCAAAGGCTGTGCCGAGAAGTCCGACTTCATCCGCAAGATCAATGAACTCATGCCCAAGTACGCCCCCAACGAAGCCAAAGCACGGAGAGAACTGTAACCAGAGGGAGAGTGGGGTACAGACCTGGGATTGTATTCAGTGTCTCAAAGTAGAAGTGCTGATGTAGGATCAGTTTTGCCTTTTTTTTAGATAATAATGAATAAGACTGTATCAAGCATCTCAAGAGTAGAAGTGCTGATCTAGGATCAGCCCCCCCCCCCCGTCCATGTAATCTTACTTATTCTTTGATCTAAATACCAAATCTAATCCTAGATCAGCACTCCTACTCTGAGACACTTTGGTTGTCTCCCAAATTGCACCCTAGTCCCTATATAGTGCACTATCTTTGACCAGAGCCCTATGGGGAATATGGTGTCATTTAGGATGTAACCTTTGTTTATACAGGCCCTGGGGAAGGGGCTTTGGTGGTCCTGAGAGGGTATTTTGTGGTGGGTAATGTTCGCTGTGCGGTATATGAACCACCCGACAGTCTGTACATGACCTTAGTTCCCTTTTTGAAGGGATGTACTTTTTATTTGACTTAATTAATAACAGTATAATCAAATATAACGGGGGGTGGACAAGCTTATATGCAGAAGATCCTAGACAGTATGTGTAGTAAGACACCTGATTCTACGTATCGACTAATCATCAGTCTGCAAATCGAGACCTTGATTATACCTGCACCCACACTGTTATTAACCCGCTGCGAATAAGCTTGGCCACCCCTGAAATATATAAAAGAGGAGGGATGGAGGAAGAGCAGATAAAATAAAAGGATATTTGCTGTTCTTTCACACAACCTTTCATCTAAGACCTGATGTTTATTACAACCGTGCTATACTTTTTCATTAAAATATGAAAACCAGGTGTCAGAAGTCATGGTGTTTTAATAAGCAATGCTGGTAGTATTATCACACATGGTCATAAATGTCTAACTTGGCATGAGTATTTTTTTTACTGAACAAAAAATATAAATGCAACATGTAAAGTGTTGGTTTCATGAGCTGAAATAAAAGATCCCCGAAATTTTCCATGTGCACAAAAAGCTTATTTCTTTCAAATGTTGTGCACAAATTTGTTTACATCCCTGTTAGTCAACATTTCTCCTTTGCCAAGATAATCCATCAACCTGACAGGTGTGGCATATCAAGAAGCTGATTAAACAGCATGATCATTACACAGGTGCACCTTGTGCTGTAAAAGGCCACTCTAAAATTACATTTTAGTCATTTAGCAGACGCACTTATCCAGAGCGACTTGCAGTTAGTGAGTGCATACATTTTCATACTGGCCCCCTGTGGGAATCAAACCCGCAACCCTGGTGTTGCAAGCGCCATGCTCTACGAACTGAGCTACACGGGCCTAAAATGTTCAGTTTTGTCACACAACACAATGCCACAGATGTCTTAAGTTTTGAGGGAGTGTGCAATTGGTATGCTGACTGCAGGAATGTCCACCAGAGCTTTTGCCAGATAATTTAATGTTCCTTTCTCTACCATAAGCCACCTTCAAAGTTTTAGAGAATTTGGCAGTAGAACCGCAGACCACGTGTATGGCGTCATGTGGGCGAGCGGTTTGCGGATATCAACGTTGTGAACAGAGTGCCCCATGGTGGCGGTGGGGTTATGGTATGGGCAGGCATAAGCTATGGACAACGAACACAATTGCATTTTATCAATGGCAATTTGAATGCACAAAAATACCTTGACAAGATCACGAGGCCCATTTTTTTAAAAGGTGTCTGTGACCAACAGAAGCATATCTGTATTCCCAGTAATGTGAAATCTATAGTTTAGGGCCTAGTTAATTTTTTTCAATTGACTGATTTCTTCATATGAACTGTAATCAGTCAAATCAATGACATTGTTGCATGTTGCGTTTATATATTTGTTCAGTATTATTCAAAATGCATGTGAAACATTTTCTATTCACCATTTGTTATTTGTAGTTTCCATGGCACGTATTATACAAGTTCTTTGTAAATGATCTAATTTGTGTCACATATTTTCAAAACTAATGTTAGGGTTATCTGCGATCCACATGACGTCACTAGCCCTGCGGCTACGTCGACTCAAACCCCTCCCATTGGCGGAACGCGCACATTCCTTTTGTCCAAGATGGCGGAGTTGATACAGGTTCACTGATTCTAATATGTTTTTAAACGCGTTTATCTTTTTATTTCGGAATATATGCAGAGTCGCAACATTCGTTACAAGTTACTAACGTCCGTTTATGTGCAACGTCTCCCAAAACGGAGGAATTTGCTTCCAGACCGGATTTTTTCTGCAGACACTGGCTGGCTAGCTAGCTAGCTAAAAAGTTTGGGCATCCTTTGAAAATGAAGCGACAGGCCGGGAGGGACTCCAGTCCTAGTAGGGCTTTAGCGAAACGAATACGGGAAAGAGAGCGGGACCGGGACGGGGCACGGAGAGAGGACCTGCCGCCCCCACCGCTTGCTTTGCTGCTCGCTGAAAGCGGGAGGCAACATGCTCGGAGCAGGAGCAGGGAACGAGAAAAGACACGGCTTCGGGAGGAGCGCGGGGCCGCCGGAGACCCCCTCCACCACCGACAACAACACCACGACCTCGGCCGAACTCCTCTCCGGACTACAGCCGCCCTGCCTAAAGGCAAAGCCGCAGCCGAACTACTGAGTCCCCGGGGGGGAGCGGGGGGGACTCTGGAATACAAATCGTTGCTCATTAGCAATCTCGGCTCGGTACTATCTGACGAGCACGTTGAAGACGGACTGTTTCACGAGTTTAAAAAGTTCGGGGACGTCAGTGTGAAACTATCCCACACTCCAGAGCTAGGCCGGGTCGCCTACGTGAATTTCCGACACCCGGAGGACGCTAAAGAGGCCAGGCATGCCAAAACCAGGTTTGTACTCTATGACCGCCCCCTCAAAGTAGAGCCCATGTACGTCCGGCGTCGCAGCTGCACGCCGCCGGATGTGGGTTATGTCCCCATCCATGGCGCCCCATATCCCTCTTATAGACAAAGGTCCCTCTCCCCCTGCGCTGGAGTTAGTAGTATCAGAGATATCCGACCACCGAGACACTACCCTGTAGAGGGGCTGGGACTGAGCAGAGAGAGGGAGAGGATCTTAGATTACTATGGGATGTTAGACGAGAGGGGACGGCCATACAGGCTGCCGGTACCTGAGCATGATGACATAAAACCTGAGGATGACGCGCGGGCGTGCAGGAACCTGTTCATCGGCAACCTGGATCACAACGTCACCGAGGGCGAGCTGAGGAGAGGCTTCGACAAGTACGGCGTCATCGAGGAAGTTGTGATTAAACGCCCGGCGCGTGGTCAGGGTGGAGCATACGCTTTCCTCAAGTTCCAGAACTTAGACATGGCTCACAGGGCCAAGATAGCCATGCAGGGCCGCGTGATTGGCGGGAACCCGGTGAAGATAGGCTATGGTAAAGCTAACCCTACCACCAGACTCTGGGTAGGGGGGCTGGGACCCAGCAATTCCCTGGCAGCCCTGGCCCGAGAGTTTGACCGCTTTGGCAGCATCCGGAACATAGACTATGTGAAAGGGGACAGTTTTGCCTACATTCAGTATGAGAGCCTGGATGCCTCCCAGGCCGCATGCACCCAGATGAGAGGGTTCCCCCTGGGAGGCCCAGAGAGGAGGCTGAGGGTGGACTTTGCCAAGGCTGAGGAGCCCCTGCCTCGTAGCTACCCAACGGGGTACCAGCCCCCCGTGCCCCTGCCTGCCCATCTGGACCTGCTGAGGCACCGCGACCGCAGCCTGGAGAGAGAGCTACGCGCCCGAGACCGCTCGCCCCCCTCCCATGCCCTGTTCACCCAGCGGGAGAGCGAGAGAGCTCTGCTGGACAGGGACAGGGGGGACAGAGAGTTCACCTCCCCAACAAATAGCCTGGAGTGCAGGGGGGGTGAAGCATTTGGGGGGTCCCGTGGTGGCCGAGGGGACCGGGCAGCCCGGAGCCGAAGCAGAGACCGCTGGCTGAAGGAGAGGGACGCAGAGCGGGCTGGAGCGGAGAGACGCAGACGCAGGTCCCTATCCCTAGACTGGCCCTCTCTGGAGAAGGAGAGAGGCAGGTCCAAGGTGAGAGGAGGGGGAGCAGGGCCAGCTTCTCCAGAGGACAGCCCAGACAGAGCCAGGGTCCGGGCCCCAGACTCTACCACTGAGCCCAGGGGACAGAGCCCTGACAGCAGCCGCCACTCCAACGAGGACCGGGTTGGCCAGGACGGCCACGAGACATCCTCCAGCCGGGACCGCCACAAGAAGACTGGCGGGGACAGAGAGAAGGACCGTGAACGCAACCACCGGGCCAGCGACATAAACCACACCTCTGACACGTCTAAAACTGACCCCAGAACACCCATCATGTTTTCAGAGTGTGCCACCACCCTCACCAAAGTCTGGCACGGTCACTTCACCCTGAAGAACTCCTGCTTCCCCACTAACATGCACCTTCTAGAGGGAGGCTCCGGGTTCTTCCACTCTGTCATGAAGGACCACCAGGCGAAGGGGAAACTGACCCAGCTGAAGATCGCCCAGCGACTGAGGATGGACCAGACCAGGCTGGACGAAGTCACCAGGAGGATCAAGCATGGTGGCTCCGAGGGCTATGCTGTTCTCCTGGCCCTCCAGGGCCCCATCGACCGTGAGGCCCCTCCACCTGAACCAGGCCTACAGATCAGACTCCTCCGTCACCTGGTCACCTACCTGAGAAACAAGGAGGCTGCAGGAGTGATCAGTCTACCTGTGGGCGGGGCTAAGGAGGGGGGAAAGGGGGGCATGCTGTACGCCTTCCCCCCCTGTGACTTCTCCCAGCAGTTCCTCCAGAGCGCACGCAGGACTTTGGAGAATCTGGATGAAGAGCACCTTGTGATTGTTATTGTCAATGACTCTGCCTAACTAACTAACAGAAGACACCTCTGTCTTTATGGTGTTGGCTGTCAATGTTATTACACCTACATTAACAACAGACAGCTGTCAGTAGGGCTGGGAATCGCCAGGGACCTAACGGTACGATATTATCACGATACTTAGGTGCCGATACGTTATGTATTGCGATTCTCACGATTCTATATGTATTGCGATTCGATGTTCCAAACATATTGCTCACCATATGTCTGCTGCAAAGGGACAGGAGAGAGCCATTCGTTTTGATCAGTCATGGAAAGAAAAGTACTGAAAACAAATTGGCTCCCTATTTAAAAAGAAAATGGAGAACAAGCTATGAAGGAACAATACTGGAATTCTGTTGCAGGTAGAGCCAACTAGCACAAAAATATTGCAATA